TGAAAATTAGGATTTGTAGTACAAAAGTCTTGAGTTATCAGATTCACTTTTCAACAGAAGTAGTATACCTTTCTTGCTGAAAAAGAAAGAGCAAATCCCTCTAACTAAAACAAAACTCTCTGCTAGATTATAAAGTGTACAGCTGAGTTTCTCAATGCAACTTGGTTTTGTTTTTTTATATATACATTAGAATATAACCCCAAGATTTAGGCTATTATGCAGGTAAAGAGAATTTACGAAATACAACATCCAGTGGTGTACTAAGGGGGGGGCGGAGTGGGCGGTCCGCCCCGGGTGCCACCAGGGTGGGGGGTGCCATGACCAGGAGCGCCGCCCCTCCCCCATGCTGCAGCCGCCCGAGCGCTCAGTAGAGAGCCTCAGTGTGCACTTCCTTTTAGTCCGGCCGGGTACAGGAAACAAAAGTTACCTGTACCGGCGGACCAATAGAGGGCTCGGCCACGCTACAACAGGGGGGAGGGGAGAAAGAGAAATTGGGAGGAGGGGGGGAGAAAGAGAAATTGGGAGAGGGGAGAAAGAGAAATTGGGAGGAGGGGGGAGAAAGAGGTTGGCAGGGGGGAGAAAGAAACTGGGAGGAGGGGGGGAGAAAGTGAGAAATTGGGAGGAGGGGGGGGGAGGAAAGAGAAATTGGGAGGGGAGGGGGGGAGAAAGAGAAATTGGGAGGAGGGGGAGAAAGAGAACTGGGGAGGAGGGAGAAAGAGAAATGGGAGAGGGGGGAAAGAGAAATTGGGAGGAGGGGGGGGAGAAAGAGAACTGGGAGGAGGGGGGGGGAGAAAGAGAACTGGGAGGAGGGGGGGGGAGAAAGAGAAATTGGGAGGAGGGGGGAGAAAGAGAAATTGGGAGGAGGGGGGGGGGAGAAAGAGAAATTGGGAGAGGGGGGGGGAGAAAGAGAAATTGGGATGAGGGGGGGAGAAAGAGAAAATTGGGAGGAGGGGGGGAGAAAGAGAAATTGGGAGGGGGGAGAAAGAGAAATTGGGAGGAGGGGGGGGAGAAAGAGAAATTGGGAGGAGGGGGGGGGAGAAAGAGAAATTGGGAGGAGGAGAAGGAAATTGGAGGGGGGGGGAGAGATTGACGTTCATCACACACATGCACCCCTTGCACACAGAAAAACACAATGCATTACACACACAGACACACAATGCATCCCTTACACACACATTGCATTCATTACACACATTCAATGCATCCCGTACATACACAGAAACACACCTTGCAGCCCTTACACATACAAACACAATTTCACACAATGCATTCCTTACACATGTATGTACCCACAGGGCCAGCCTCTTCTCCTGGGGGGCCCAGCAGACA